AGTTGTCGTCAGTTGGAAAATAGAAACATCAGCAGAGCCCTCGGGGCGATTTCGATTTGGTTTTGGTGCCGTTTGCCGTTTGCTGTTTGCTGTTTGCCGTTTGACACTTGATTTATTTTTACACTAATTGATTTATTGACAGATTCTCGCTTGGCCACGTCTGCAGTTTTGTCGCCTCGCTGCGGCCTTTTAAGGTGGCGTGTGTGTGCCTGTGTGTGTGTGTGTGTGTGTGTGTGTGTCTCTCCTTATTTGATTAACGTTCGATTTTCACAATTTATGAAACTTCATTAAAGAGCGCGAAATACGCTGTGCGTTCGTCGCTGTCTCTGCACGTGCAGCATGCGAAAAATGTTAATAAAGTTTTTTTTTTTCCACAACCTCTGCACCTCCCAACACCCACTCCACCGGGGCACGCACTTGCCGTCGTTCGCGTTGCCATCTTCATCATTGCCGCCATTTTTCATACGAAATTGAATTCATTTGAGTCTGCTTGACTGTGTCTGTGTGTCGCTCCTTTCCTCTCTCTCTCTTTCTTTCTTCTTTCCTGCCTGCCTGCGTACGTGCTGCTTTGTATTTTATTTATGTTTTAATTTTGATTACTTTTATGAATTTTGCCTGGCGGATATTTGAATTTTATTGAGTAGTTCGCCCGAGCAGAAATGTGTACCATTTTTAAGCTGTTCCAATAGCAGAAAATGGCAAATTTACATACAAAACTTTGCGCTAATCAAAAGTAATAAATAGCTATAAATTACAATTAAAAGTCAGTGAAATCAACAATGAAATTTAGCAAAACGAAATTTATCTAATGGAATGATATTAAAACAACAAAATGCACACCAAATTTCCACAAAATTAAATTTATCTGTGTCTAAATAGGATTCATAAAAAGATTCATAAGAACTAAAAAAAAATATACAAAAAATGTAAAGCAAAAATAGATATAAATAAATATAAAAGAAGAGATTGAAATGTTCCATGTGTGAAGCCATTTGGGGGCAAATGTTATAGAAAAACTCTGCAAAAAATAACAACAGTAAATTTATTAAAAAATTAAATTTAACTCACAGAAAATTGCAATTTAAAGTGCTCCAAATAAACAATTTGTCTTACCTTTCGATCAGATTTCATCTACAGTGAGCCTTAAATTAAAGCAAACCCCAACCCAAACTGCCTTAAAAAAAAACCCACAAAAGGCAGACTAAACTTTGCTTCAAATACCCATCAATTTTCGTCTCACCTTTCGCTCAATTAAGAGCGATGATGCCACATGGTACGAGTATAGTGCCCGGTCACGCCCTCTATTTTCCTGCCATTTTCCCAGCGTCCAAGACTGTGATGCAACTGTGCAGCTGTCCGTCCGTCTGTCCGTCCGTCCGTTCGTCCACGTTGCTTTGCTGTGTGTACATTTCAAATTGTCAGTTTTGGCATTATTTAAATTGCAGATTTTTCTCATTGAATTTGTCGAAATACTTTGGGTGTATAATTTATTTTTGTTGCCGCACAATGCCGCCTGAAAAATTGCATAAATTGCACAGCAACAAAAAAGTGTATTTTGTAGTACTTTTTTTGTGCTTTTTGTTCTTTTTTTATATAGATATATATTGTGGTTTGTTGTTGTTGTTGGCCTGTCAACATGCTTTGCCTATGCATGCCTGAGTGCCTGTCTGTCAGCCAAGAGAAAAACAACAGGCAAAGAGTTTTGTGTTGGGGCAGCATTTGTCAGAAATGTCGTACGATTGTCAGGAGATGCTACCACTGGGATGGCATCTTGTGCGGGCCCATTGACAGAACTAAAAGTTAGATTTTTATAAGCGAAACGTACACCAAGTTTTTCGGCTAACTTCAAGCTGCAAATCGAAAGCGAAAATGCAGCCGCAGCATTTGCATAAAGGAAAGGTAAAGCCAAATTGTAAATGAGCCTACACCTGACCAGGCAGGCAGGCACGCAGGCAGGCAGGCAGGCAGGCGACTGACTACCAAGTGACACGCCTGCCCAGTCGACTGGCCAAAAAGTTGATTCCTGGCTGCGTGTTTTTTGCTAAACGTTTTCTCATTGACATTTTGGCATTTTGACATCGCAAATTGTGCGGCAGCCCAACCAGGAAGCGGGAGTTTGTGGCACATTAAAGTGGAAGCCAGTGAAAGTTCTCTGAGCTCTGAACTGCTCCAGTGTCCAGTATGCAGCTTGGACTTTAGGCTTTAAGTCATGGCAGACTGTGCACTCGAATGGGAATTGGCATTGCCCAAAATTAGCATTTGAAACACCTCTTACTTTTGGCCTAAAGATGTGCTGCCACTTGGTTCGTCCTGTCTGCCATTTATGGGCCGTCAAGTGCGGCAACATTTTGGCTATCAGCAGACAACCAAATCGAAATCAAAGTCGTGTGTGTGCATCTTTTGGCTACCTCGCCTTTATATGGCCCGGCCGAAACTTTCAATTAACACAAAAGCCCCAGTCGCATCCTCAGCTGCACAAACAGTCGAAACGTGACCAAAAAAAGGCAGCCAGCAGCCAACTACCAGCCAGCGAGTGAGCCAACTCGATTGGCCATTAATTGAGCGGACGCCAGTGGACAGGATTTTGTGCGCTGCGCGTTTATTATTAAAACCAAATTAATCAAAACAAGCGTTTGACAGCTGAGTGATTTGTGCCACAGCCCCGATCCCAGCTCCAGCTACAGCTCCAGCTCCAGTGCCAGTGCCAGTCCCTCCCTGAATTAAACGCTGGCGCCAGTTTTGTATTTGTTTGCTAATTATGTCGCGGCCACTGCCGCTCACAGTCGGCTACACTCCCACTTGTCTCGTTTATGGTTAGGCCAGAAATCTCGTTAAAGTTCGCAGTTTCTCAGGCGCAAAAAGCCGCCTTTGATCTTCGGCAAAAGTCGCTTATAAACGCGTGCCGCCGGCATAGAGCAACATTTTGGTGTTGCAGATCGTGGGGCAGTCGCTTTGTATCTGTCTTGCCACATTAGCAGGCGCGGGCACGCCCATAAATCTTCAGTGCCAAATTGAAAGCGCTGATGGAGTAAATGAATAACTGAATGATTGAATGGTTGAGTGAGTAAATGAATGGCTGAATGGCTGACTGACTGGAAAAGAAAGAAAAAAATCGCTGCCATAATTTGGCTTTAATTGGCTTGACGCGTCGCGTGTTGCTGCCACGAAACGGAACTCTGTGGGTGTTGTGTGTGCCACATATTAAGCAAACATGAGCATAATGGCAATTTACACTCAACAGCACACACACACAGAGAGAGAGAGAGAGAGAGAGACACTCGTCAACACAGAGACGCAATTAACATGACATGTCGTACGCGTCGCCTTGATTGGGATTGAGGATTGTCGAGGCGGTTGCTGTGGCAGCCGCTGCTACAGGATGGAGGCAATCTCGCAGCTACAGGATACATGGCGATTGCATTAACCACAAAACTCCATGCTCGATGCTGCAGGTGCAAAAAGAAATATTGGAAAGAGAGAGCGAGAGAGTGGTATAGACTAAGGGAATGACCTATGGAGAGAGAGAATAAATAGCCACAGATAAGGGGTTACATTTATGGCAGAAAATGTATTAAAAGTATGTATAAATAATATTAATAGAAGAGTAACCAATTGGGTAAAGAATAAAGGCTCTTTGTGGCTAGATTGGAACAGTAAATTAATTTTTAGGAGTATGTTTAATGCACCACCTCAGTAGTTGATTGAACACCCCAAAAACATGATCTATAATTATAATTAGTTGCCACTGATTAAGTTCAACCATTACTAAAAATGTGAGGTAGCTATTTTGTTATTAGCAAAAGCCAAAAATTAGTTTTAGGCCGCTGAAAAACCTTCGAATGCGCAACAAAGTCGCAAAAATCGTCTTCAAAATTCACAAGCTTTTCCATGACTGTTTGTACTTGTATCATTTTTAATCGGCAAATGCTAGGGAATATTCTCAAATGTTAATGCATTTTGCAAGAAAATTATAGCACCTTTCATGATAATTTTGATTCGTGTTGATAGAGTGAATATGGCCGCAGTTATAGCGACTCAAAGTTTCATGTTTTTTTGACCAATTTAAAATTGTATGCAAATTTTTGTTTTTAAGTTTCTGCAATTTTGGAAATGTTTAAAATACGTTTTTAATAAGTAAAGCTACTATTTTTAAACGTGAACTTGTTAGTAGCAACTACTAGAAATATAAATAATAATTCCTTAATGTTTAATGATGATTTATATACTCGTACTTAGCACAAATTAGATATGCCCACATGCTGCCTCGTGGCTGCTTAAAAATTCAGTGCGTGACAACAGGGCGGAGGAGCTCCCAGCTTGTACCCACAGAAGGCGCGGCTATAACTTAGTGAATGCTTTAATTTTAATTATTGCGATTTGTATGCGCCCGGAACCCCCGCACCCCTTACCTGATAACTTCCAGCAGCCACAGGCCGAGATAGTCTGACTAATTTGCCAACAACATGACACCGACTTGAGCGTCGCTTGATTAAGTCGAGGCACTCAAAACGTGGCTGCTGCTGGTTGCTGCTGGTTGCTGTTGCCACTGCTCGTTGCACATGGTCGTTGTCGATTTGGTTTTTGGCATGCGCTGGCTGGCGTTAATTAAGCTGCAGCCCAGAGAGCTGCGTGGCAGGGAACGCAGCTGCGTGTCGCTTGGTCGTCTGGTAATCTCCGCGGATTAAGCCGACACTGCAGCCCGGGCCGCTGCTCTTTTTTCTTTTTTTGCAGCCTTGTTAACAATATTTCGACTTGTTTCCACTACTGACGAGCCGGGCCATCAAACACGCGGCCTGCGGCCAAGTGTCAGCCAGCCAAAAGTCACAGCGGAGCACTTAAACTAGCCCAGTGACAACAGGGCGGACGGCAGTTTTGTTAAATGAAATGAAAATGTTACACTGCGACAAATTGCAGGCGTTTTGGGGGGAAATTTGTTTAAAGTTTAATGCAAAAATTAAGCTTAAATTAGTTTTTGCTTTGGAATTTTGTTTGAATTTTTGTTTATAGCCTAAAAGTTTGCTGGAGTTTCAGTTGAGCGCTGATGCTCAGTACTCAATGGCATCCTGCACAAGTTTTTCCGTAGCCGCAGAGCTCTCCACAGAGCCTGGAATATATTTGCCAATGCTGGCCAAGCTGTTGGCCTGCGGGAAGGTAAAATAAATATTATAAACATTTATGTTTATGTTTATGTTTTGAGTTAGTCAAAAATACCGCACCTTGCAGCGCTTAATCAGCTCGTTCTGAGCATTGGCAATGTTGTCCTTGCGACCGCCCCAGCTGCGCAGCACCGAAGACTGCAAGGCTCTATCGAAGGCGAACGTCATGGGCCAGGGCTTGCACAGTGGCACATTGTTTATGGCATTCAGATTGACAGTGGCCTCCTCCTCCGATTGACTGCCTGAGCAGAACATGATGCCTGGCAGATGGCAGATAAAAATGAAACAAAAGTCAAAGCAAACTCTGCCAAAACTCACCAGGCACTGCCGGCGGCACAGTGCGACGTATGGACTGCACCGTGGCCAGACCTATGTCCGCTGGGGAATTCATTTTATTGCTCTGCAGTCCGGGCGTCACAATGCTGGGCTGCAGCAGTGTGCCCTCCAGGAAGATGTGATGATCGTTGAGCGCCTTGTAGACGGCAGCCAGAACGGTTTCGGCCACCTTCTGGCAACGATCCAGATCGTGTTCGCCCATGGCCAGTATCTCAGGATTGATGAGGGGAACCAGACCCTGCGACTGACACGTGGCCGCGTAGCGTGCTAGGACATTGGCATTCTCCAGAATGGCCTGATGGGAGGGCGTATTCTTGGTGATCTTCAGGACACAACGCCACTTGGCGAAGCTGCAGCCTTCCTTCTTGAACTGGGCACAGCGAGCGGCCAGGTCATCCAGCCCCTGGGTGGTGAACTCCTCCTCCGAGCCGAAGAGCGGCACAAACTGCTTGTCCACCTTGATGCCCGTGAGGATGCCCTTCTTGCGCAGCACCTCGGCAAACGGTACACTGTCGTCCGTCCGCTGGTGCAGCGATTCGGGAGGGAAAATGACGCCCGATATATTCTCCGCTATCTTGGCATCGGTCGTGAACAGCATCTGACGATAGGTGCGACGATTCTCTTCTGTGTTCTCCACACCAATCAGCTGGAAACGCTTGCCCATCTGCGCACTGGACTCGTCCACGGCGAGGATGCCCTTGCCGGGCGCCACCAAGCCCTTGGCAATGCAGATCAGCTCCTCCTGCAGCTCCTTGTCGGGGTAAAAGAAGTGGGTCGTCATTTTAGTAACTGGAAAATTTTGATTTGGGAATTGCTACAGAAAGTGTAAGTTGGGAATGATTTAATAGAGACAGTTAAGTCTTGGCTCTAGCGTGGAATATTTTCACAGGTACAAGGAAATATAATCAGAAATATAAGCATAAGTATATAATAGTATCCAACAATTAATTATTACTTGCCATCACTGTGGAGACTCTTCTAAGCGCAGCAGCGGCCCTTATTTCGCCTATCTCTCCCACCTTCTTCGTTACTGCACTTTTATTGCGCTCTAGCTGACGTTACAGCTTAGCAGCAGCCTCTACCTGCGCCACCGCTCTCTTTCGTTTGGTCTCTCTCTCTGCGTAGTGTACGGGACCATGAAGCAACTATATAAGGAGGTCTCGTCGCCAAAAATAGAGCAGCGGAACAATGCTGTCAATAAGTGCTAATGAAAGGGCTCTCGCTGTAAGTCTGAGTGAAACGTAAATGGAGTGTTCGCTCAACCTTCCGCATCGACAAGCAAATTTATGGAAATAGGACGAATAACGCTTCCAACGACGAGACCTCCTTATATAGTTGCTTCATGTACGGGACCTGCATCCAGACGTGCGCTGATCGTCATGTAAGCGTACGGCGTTCTTTCGTCTATCTCTCCCGCCATCTTCGTTCCTGCACTTTGCTTGCGCTCAAGCAAAAATTCGTTCACAGCTTAGCAGCAGCCGCTACCTGCTCCAAAGCTCTCTGTTTTTCTCTCTCTCTCTCTATATTCGGACCATCGCGACGCGTCATCCCTGCTGGTAGTCTTCAGCTGCAACTACCGTTTCATTTTCGTTTGCAAAATCAATTGTACAGTAACAAAACCGAACGTACTGTCATTTAATGAAACTCAAGAGCTATTGAAAGCGTTCTATGGCTAAGCAATAATATCCAATCAGTATATTATATGAAATCAGTGAAATGGTTTAAATTATAATTATTTTTGTTAACTAACGTGTTTATCATGTTAATTTATTTATCGTTTAATTACTCAGATGTTTTATAATCAAGATTACAACAAATTCATCTCTATTTCAGTCTTCATAATCCACCTGAGCATTTAGCACTCTCCTGGGGCTAATGGCATTCGAATTTGACTTTTAATTGCTTTCTCTGGAGTTCAGCTACGATAGAGAGAGATAAGAGACGGCGTCTTAATCTCCCATTAATTATATTTGACCGCAACGAAAATGTTCACTTTTTACGAGTTTTCGCTTTGGACATTTTATGGCAAAAGTTTCTCAAACACAAATTAAGCAGAAGCTGGCTAAAGTTTGTCATAAGAAATATGAAAGAAAAAAAAAACGACGAAATACACAGAAAAAATACCCAAAAGAAATTAAATATAAATTGTCGAACCATTTTCGGAGCGTAAATTGAATTTTCCAAATATTTTCTCTTGCTGCTGTGAGTGGACGGACCTCGAAGCTTGTTGAATTCAATTGATTTTTGTGGCGATCCGAATCGAACCGCCGACTAATTCTAATTGGCGTGGGAAACGCAATGAGTGCTCCAAAAGCTGTAAAAGGACCGCTGGCTAGACAGTTGCCTAATTTTGTGTAAATTATCGCACGAATTATGAGTCTCGTACGTGAAATGTACCAAAAATAGTCAGGGCAGCCGCGAAACACACATCGCAAAAATGTAATACGATAAATATCAGACAACAAAAAGTAGCAATATTCCCCATAACAAAAACACACACAGACATTGAATTTGTGTTTTTTGTACGATCCGACATCGTCATCAATATTCAAGTTTAGATCTCTGAGTCGAGTCCCCCCAATTAGGCCAGCGGCAAGACGCCAGCCAGCCAGCCAGCCAGCCAGCCAGCCAGCTCGATTCGAGCTCCGCCAAGCCTAATCGCAAAGCCAATAAATATGATCAACTGCACTGCGAAAATCCCCCAACTGCAGTCATTCCATTCCCCTCAGTCTTTTGCCAGCCAAAATGTCTTAGCACCTAATTGAGCGAATCGTTGAGCGTGGAGTTGCGGCTGACTCAGCTTGGACAGCAGACTGCGGCACGGCTGCTGCAGTGCATGGCTGCCAAAGTGGCTTAAAAATTATTAATTGATTATCTATAAACGTTTTAATTGAAAATTACCAGAAAACGTAATGGCCAAGGCGCACGGGTGATGCTCTATGGATGGAGAGAGACTGAACAAATTAAGTAGAACTAAAGGAAAATTACAATTTAGGTCACAAATAAATATTTCGAATTTGTAAAGTATTTTCAGACATTTTTTAAACCTTTTTAAATGCTAGTAGTTTAATTTTAGTTAATTTATACAAAAATTTGCCTTTTTTGTACGCTTTTGGGGCTGCTTTGATCTTTATAATTTATAAATAAATCTCTAGTAAATATTTACAATTTGTTAAATATTTACTGACATTTTTTAAACACATTTAAAGTCCGCTAGCTGTGCATTCTCACATTTCTTTTTTACTTTCATCCATTTAAAACAAAAGTTTTTATAATTCAAATCTTTTGCTCTCTCATTCACTCTAATTTTACCACCTCCAAAGATCCTTAAAAGTTTCGTAATGCCCCGCCTTAACGGTTAGGGCATGGACCAATTGGCTACTGTCTTTTCAATATTAAATTGCCCGCTGGTCAGCAGTTTAGTCAGTCAGGCGTAATTATTGTTATTACCAAATTAAGTAGCCGATTTTTTGTTCGTCGACTCTTTATCAGACGGAGGACTGGACCGACTATAATCCGCAGACTACTCGTACTTGGTGTGTGTGGCAGACTTACTCGCGCTCTTTGAGCCAGTGTAATTTTTTTACGATTTTGGTTTTTTGCAATTTTTGAGCACAAAGTCGTTTTGACCAAAAGCACACGCAACCAGGCAGGCAGGCAGGCATCATTTTCAAGCGAAAATCTCTTCATTTTTAATGTGCGCCTGGCTCACCAGCGAAATCAATAAAAATAGCAACAAAAAATACACAGACTGCTGAGCAGACGTTGGCTTAAGCCGCTGTGCAAAATCGACTGAGATTAAATCGAGCGCACATAATCATATTTAGCTTTTTGGCCACAACGTTCGTGGATGTCAACTGCAGGCCACGGGTCGACGTTTTAGAGCCCCCGTCATCGTGTCGTGGATCGTGCCGCCAGCTAGCCAGGCCAGTCCTGGTCCTGGTCCCACTCTATGACCAAAAACAATGGCTAAGCGCCACCATCTATGAATTAATCACGTTCATAATTTTAGCCATCGTGTTCGTTGCGTTCGTTCGTTCGTTCGCTGCTTGTTTGTTCATAATTTCTTGTGTACCTTTTCGCTTATGGTTTGTGCTTAATTTGCCTAAAAAAGGATATGGGCAGTGGAGTAGCGGGGTAGCGGGGAGAGAGACAGCGCCAGCACCATCTTTCTAGCCATATTGTTGCATAATTAGGCACGGTTTTGGGGTGTTTGCTGTGGCATTTCTTGGCGCGAAAAGGCTTGTGTGTGGTCATGTTGTAACAGGCCATTGTTTTGCCCATTTATTGTTTTGCATTTGCATTGTTCAATATGGAAATGAGTTTTGCCACTGCTGCTGCAACGGTGGGAAAGTTTATCGCAAAGATTTATGCCACTGAATTTGTTGATGATTTTTGTTAGCCACTTTCTCAGCTTCAAGTTGGCTTAAGTGCATGAGGTTCTGTTGAGATTTGAGGCTGCTCCCAATTGAAATTCCAGCCCAGGCACTTGATCTGACAGGCGGCACGTGCCGCAGCCGTATACATCAATATCAAAAATCTTTATACAGATGTCTGCCGCATGTCAGACAACGGCAGAGGGCCCATTTGGTGAAATCTTCATTAAATCAACTTCCAGGCGATTGCACAGCGGAGGGCCGTGCCCTGCCCTCTTGCTGAACTTTACGACCCCAAAAGTGTACACTTTTGTCTTGAGTTTATTTTTTTGGTGTGTGTTTTCATTAAAATTTACGCATTATCGCATAAGTACTACTGCAGGGAGTCGAGTCAGGCAGAGAGCCAACTGACATCCGCCGAGATTCGGTAGGTTGCCCAATTTTTACCAATTAACTGCGCCACAATCTCACGTACATCGGCCATGCCTTCTGGCCCCAGGGCCCAGGCCCCCCTCCTGCAGTGGGTGGCAGTTTCAATTTCGCGCTGAATCTTTTTATGGGCATGCCCTGTGCTGTGCAGTGTTTGCCATATCGCGACCAGCGCATATCAGTCGTTAAAAACGACTCACATAATTTCGCTTATGTGCGTGTGACATTTAGCACCGACATTTCCAGCCACGGCCTGGTCGCAGCAGGAGGACGCCACTGCCTGATGGCACGGGGCAATGTTCTGGGCAATTATTTTTAAACTGTGTGCTGAACAAGCAGACCAAAAGGGCAGCGCCACAAAACAGTGGCGCAAAGGAATGCATCTCGGAGTTGGATCAAAAAAAATACAGAAAAATCAAAAGTTGAGAATTTTTACAGAATTTATGGATAAAATGTGTAGCAAATATTATCAGTGGTAGTAATTTGTGCGCCAAATGTTAATGGAGAATTTCTATTAACTATTAAACACTAAATTAGTGCCTGAAGTATTATTTGCATATTTTTAAAATATTTATTTTGAAGCAAGAACATTTATTGTAGATTTTTTTTTAGCTTCATCTTTGCCGGGTTGCGAATTTGTCTTAAAATATTTATAGAAAAGTTTTTCAACCTTTAAAACGTTAAATTATGCCTCTAAATAACTGTTGCACATTTTCAAAATATTTCATTTAAGCACAAATATTTTCTATTAATATTTGTTTTAACTTTTCAGCCATGAACTTTTCTGCACCACTGTTGCAACGTGCTCAGTCCGTTCCGAAATGTTAAATGCTTCACACTCAATAATTTAAAATTGCTGTTCTTGATAATGCGCTCGAAAAACAGCAGCAAAAAAAAATAAACATAAAACCTTTTTGGCTGCGCGGCATGCAGTGCGTATGGGTAATGCCAAAAGGTATTTCTGCGCTTTTGCAGCTGTCCCAGTGTGTGCGTGTGTGTGTGGCATGCCAAACATTTGC